GGGATTCACTGTCTACCCAGCCCCCACTCAGCCCCAGGAGCTGGGTAATGACAACACACCCACGGCCTGTATTTCCTGGGTGTCTCTCAGCCCTGCCCGGTTCACCCACACCACAGTCTTACGAGCAGGGCAAAAGCCTAGTTAGAACCCCAAGACCCAACAGTGGAGATCCAGGAGCCAGGACTCCAGAGCTGACCCTGCCTTCATCACCTGCACCCCCCACCCTGCCCCACCACCTTGGCCATGGCCCTGCCCCTCTGGGTCCTTTCCTGGCCTCTCCCCAGTCCTGGCACAAGACACGCTCAGGGCTGCTCACCAGGAAGCATTCCTGACAGTGTGCAACACAGCCAAGAGCTGCACCCTGCCCAGGGTTCAAGGGAAACTTTAAAACTTGAGCCCCAAGCAGTCCTAATAGGGAAGGTGGCCCCTGCCCCTGTCCTCACACACAGACCCCTGCAAGGCTGATCTCTCAGCCCTACAGTCCCGTCCACCCGGGGGTCCGCACATGGCTGCTAATACAGAGACAGTCAGGAATTTGAGTTTTTAAACAACGCACTTTTTTTTTTTTTTTAATTTGGGGAAAACTCCTCACTTCCCAGAGATGAGAATTTTGCTGCATCTCCTTTCTGCCACCCTTTCTGCACTGACATTTTATTTGCACTGTATTTTACCCATTTGAACTCTAGCTCTATTTATAATCACAGAACCTGCTTTTAACACACTTTCACTTATCATTGAAACTCCAATGCTCCCTCTCCACATACTGTAAACCCCACTGAGCCAGCCGCTGTCTGCCTAACATTCTCCTCCTGACAGATACCTCTACTGCTCAAGCTTTGGACCCTATAAACAAGGCACAAAACAGTTTCTCCCTGACATGGGTTCCCAGAGTGACACTGCTGGCCCCGACATGTTTGCAATTGTCCACATGGCTGGGGCGCCAATGCTCAACTGAGCTCAGCAGTCACTCCCTTCCCAACCAGCCTACCCAACCTTCCCAGAGTGCAGAACGGGAAACGGAGGCCCAATTTGTCCGGGTGGAGCTGGTCAGAAACTCATATTATGTCCACCTCCCCTATTTCATTTGCAACCTCTCAGACTTGCACTGAACACGACATTCAAAGGACCAGTCCTTTCCTCCCTCCCTCCCTTCAGCAAGCAATTTCTGAGAACAGTGTTCTTGGGACCAGGAATACAAAAGGAACATAACCCTTACCTTCACACACTCCAGTAAGAGAGCCAGATAGTAAGTGAAAACACTGAGATGGTGATAAGGGGAGAGGAATAGGGTCCATTTAAATAGAACATAGTCAGGGAAGGCCTCATGGGTACCATTTGAGCAAAACCTGGAAGAAGGGGAGGGAGAAAACTGGTTCTTTCACCCAGCCAGATCCAGGGAAAGAGCATTCCAGACAGAGAGAATACCAGTGCAAAGGCCCCGTGGCCAACAAAAGACCATCCTGCCCCAGGAATAGCAAGGAAGCCAGAAACAAACAGGAAGAGACAGAGAGACATGAGGACAGGTCTATTGGGGCCACCAGGACACTGGCTCTTTCTCAAGTGAGAGAGGGAGCTTTGGGTGGGGGCAGCAGAGGAAGGACTTGACCTAACAGATGCTATAAAAGGATCCCACCAGTTGCTGAGATGGGAAGAGCCAAGAAGGGGAAAGGAAAGGTGGCATTCTTTGCATATTCTTATTGGGAAGAGTTGCTGATGGAGTGTGCAGATGGCTGAGAGAGAAGGGTCAAGGAGGACAGCAAGGTGAGGGTGTAAGCCATGGGAAAAATGGAGCTGACATGGGCTGAGGTGGCGAGGGAGGGGAGCAGGTCTTTGTGCATCCGGAAATTCCATGTCTGAGGCCTTCCAGGACCTCCAGGTGAGCCTTCAAGACAGGAGCCCAGGGCAGTGGCCCTGCCTTAAGACATGAATTGGGGAGACCAAAGCCTGAGAAAGGGTTAGTGACAGAGTGTTCGCCCTCCAGCCACAGAACACGATTTGAGGAGGCCCAACTTCCACTGTCCTCCCTCAGACTCAGCCACACCTGGCCTGCAGATAACATCTGTTCTTCTCCGCTCCCCACTCCCCCCACCTCGACCCCCACCCCCCGCCCCCATGCAAGGCTGCTCAAACTCTGTGCTCCTTCAGGGCTCATCCCAGACTCTCGCTTCTTGTGGGGACTTTGTGGTTCTAACCTCCCCTGCCTGCACCCTCAGGATCTCGGGAAGAGAGTAAGCACCAAGCAGGTGGTCCTCTCCCCCGCCATGTCACCTGTAACCTGCAACCTGAGGAGCCTGAGGCACAGCAGCCTGCTCAGACTCAGATGTGCCCCTCCCAGCAGCCCACAGGTCAGGCCGGGCACAAGTGGGCAGCAGCTTTGCAATTATTCTCTAGCCTGGACCCCGAGAGGCTGGTAACCTCCTTGAGGCCAGAACTCCCGTTCCGTCTCCTTGGGTCCCCTCCACCTGCTCCTGAGTCTCCAGCCCGGACTCTGCATGTAGTAGGCACTCAACAGACAGATGAACTTGAACTCGGCCAGCCTCCAACGTTGGCGGCTTTGCCACCACAGAGCAGCCTTAAGGAAAATTCAAAGATCATTACTATTTGGCTTTAGGATACATGACACGATGCTGTTTGCAGCAAATCGCCTCCCTAATTACGTTTTCTTAGGCTAAAATAGCAAATTTGCCTTCCCTGAGGACACACCAGCCCTGGTGGAAGGTGGCAGCCCAGAAGCTTCCAGAAGGGCAGAAGGAGGACAGGCAGAAGGAAGAGGTTTTTCTTCCCATGCCACTGATAATGAACTCCAGGATGGAGGTGGAAGGGCAGGTAGCAAAGGGCACTGGAAGCTGAGCGTGGCACTGGCTCCAGGCTGCTCATCTGGGGTACGCCTGGGGCAGCTGAGGGTGGGGAGAGGCTGGAGTCTGTGCACAGGAGTGTGAGCCCCACTGGCCCCGGGCACACCCGCCTGCATCCTGAAGCCACAGTGTCCCTGGAATTTATGGCTCTGGCTGTGGGGTTTGACGAGCTCCACTGGTCATGATGGATGGCTGCACCCACCAAGCTCCCTCCTTCCCCTGCAGGAGACAAGGGCAGGGCAGGGGAGGGAGAGTGAAGCCAGGACAGGGAGAAGCCAGAGACAGTGAGTGTACTGGCCCCAAGCAGCCCACAGTGGGACACTCAGAGGGGCTGCAGAGAGCTCTGCCCCACCCAGAGCACTCCTGGGCCTTAAGCTGTATTAGTGGCCCAGCTGGAGGCTGGCAGGAAGGGAAGGAGAGGTGTTCTAGGGCTGGATCAGAGGGAAGAGGAAGGAGCTGCAGGCAAGGCAGGCAGGGCAGGGGCTGGTTCTGAGGAGACACAATGGGCATCAGAGAAGATGGAGCTGTGCATTGTAAAGAGATGACGGTGTCATGCTGGGAGCCCAGGGAACCCCAGCACCTCTGCCTCCTCTCACCATCTCCCACTGGCCACTGTACTTCTCTTGAATAGTACAGTTTTCACATAGTAATCAGAGTGACAATTTTAAAAAATAAATCCAGTAGTTTCTCACAGATCTCAGAAAAGTGTTCTTCAGCCAACAAAATCCTACATGATTTGACCCAGTTGGCCTCTCCCATCCCTCACCATGCTCTGCCACAATGGCCTACCCATTACTTCTTTCCTCCAACATACCAAGCATGCTCCTACCCCAGGCCATTTGCACTTGCTGTTCTCTCTACCTCATACTCCCTGTCATGTGGTTGGCCTTTCCCCATCATTCACAGTCAAGCTCAAGTTTCATAGACCACCGTTTGACATCCCCTCTCCTACTCACCCCACTTGCCTGCTGTTTTGCTCAATGATTGTCTGTCTCTGTCACTGGATCTGGCCTGGCTGTTGGTGGTCCCCAAGGCACAGTTCATGCACAGGGCTTTCTCGTTTATTCTGTTAGATGCTAAGTCTTGGGAAGGTGAAATAGTCTCTAAGTAGGGACCCAGCACACAGCTGGGCAGTATCAAAGGGGCCTTTTTTGTTTTACAAACAAAAAAGACAGAAAAGGGTAAAGAAGGAAGAAGGAAAGGAGGGAAAGAGGGAAGGTGGAAGGTGCAAGGAAGGAAGGAAGGATGGAAGAAAGGCAAGCCAGAGAACCAAGACTAACAAAGGATTTGTGAATTCATTGATATAAAAACTCTCACAAAGGGATAAAATCAAAACCACACAGTGAATGAATGGCCAAGCAGAGCACAGAGGCTAGAAAGCTGGGCTGTGGAGCCAGGCCAGGCCCTTGTAGCTGTGCAACTTTGACTGAGTTTCTGAACTTCTGTGTGCCTCAGTTTCCCTTTCTATAGAGCTCAAAGCACCCCATAAGATGGTTGTGGGATTCTCGCGATCACCGGGGTAACTCAGTAAGCGCTGAGTGCGCTTTCAGAAAATGTCACCTATTAGGAGGCTGACAATGTCCACCTGGGTGTCAATCGGCCAGGTTGGTTTGGAGTTGGCCCATGGCCAGCATCCCAGAACAGACAGATCAAGTGGCAATGGCCCCCACACCAGTCCAAAGGGGTACACTGTGTCCTGGCCTGACTAAGGAGGGGTCTCTCCAGCACACAAGCCAGGAAGTTCTGCTTGGCAAAAATGGCCCCAGGGTTCATGAACACTGCACACATTCAACCTGGACAGAGCTCAGAACTGAACCCATGCACAGAAAAGGTGCTGAAACCACACACAATGAGAAGTTTTTAAAGGGCCCTTAGTTCTCTCATGGGTAATATTTTATTTAAAAAGGAAAAAAAAAAAAAAAAGAAAGAAAGACTGTGCACAAATGTGACAAAATGGTAGGAGTTGTGTCAAACATGGGTGGCAGGGGCCTGCGCTCTGGGTTGTATTATTTGCCTTCTTAAAGTTTTCTCCAGGTTAATAAGAAAGAAGATGCTGAGTGTGCATTTGAGGCTGTGACAGCCCCCTCAGCACACCCCAGGCACCACCACCCTGGCTCTGTGCCCCCTCCCTCCACGTCCCCTCACCTGTCTGCAGCAAAGTGCGCATCGCCAGAGGTGCGGTGCAGCTCGCTGCTGTTCTCCAGCCTGGCCAGGGCATCCACACGCTTCACCATCAGCTCCAGCAGGTCACTCATCTTGCGGAGGACACCACGGGACTCGGGGCCACCCAGCACTGTGGGAAGAGTGTGGGCACAGTCAGGCATGGCCCAGCAGTCCAGAGGCCATCTGGCTACCACTCTGTGCAGCTTGGCCCCCAGCCCCACTCCTGTCTTCCTTGGCCACCACAGGGGAGGGGTCAGAAGAGTGATCCTTCCCCACCCTCCCACCTGCAGGGTCAGAGCCCCTCCCCACTTTGCTGCATTGCCTGGAGGGGAGACACTGAGCCAACCCTATTCCCTGACAGCTGTGTGACCTTGGTAACTCTGGTCACCTCTCTGGGCCTCGGTTTTGTCTACTGTGGGCATATCTCTGAGGGGTCCTGGGCCTCAGAAGCCTCAGCATGAGAGGGCAGGAAGGCCCCCAGGGGGGCAGGACTTCTGGACCAGGGTTTCTAAAAGTGTGGCCCATTGTCCCCTGTTCTCTGAACCTCCCAACAAGGACAAGTTGCTAAAATTCAGGATTTCAGCCTAGATTTGATCTAGTGTGGAGCCCTAGAATCTGAACTGCTGTCTGCAGGATTCTGACACACAGGGATATTCTAGGCGTCATGTTGGTTCCCACTTCTCCTCCAGCTTCTGGACCCTGACCCCCACTCCTGCTTCCCCAGACCCCTCTATAGAAAAACACAATGTGCTTGTCCTGAATCTCACACTGGTCCAACTGACAAGGGCCAAGGCAGCTGCCTCTTTCTGCCCCCAGCCAGGGCAAGGGTGACCTTAGGGTGCACAAAATCCTATGAGAATGAGGCACTTCAACCAAGATCCCCAACCAGCTTGGCATCCTTTGCGATTTCCTTTGTAATCCTCCTCACCGTGGGCACTATACAGGCCAATGTGAAGCTGTCGTGGCCTTCCTTTATAATTCTGTCTTCTAGAAGGTTCTAGATATGCAGACCCTCTGTGCACTCTATATAAGGTGTTCAGCTCCAGTGTGGCAGTCCTGGGCTTATAAAGAAGAATGAAACCACGTGGTTTGAAGGTAAATGGATGCAATTGGAGGTCATCATGCTAAGTGAAGTAAGCCAGGCTCAGAAAGACAAAGGCCGCATGTTTTCTCTCATCCGTGGAAGACAGATCCAAAGATAAACATGTACACAAAAACAAGCATCATATACAAACTCAGATGTGGAAGATGTCTGTAATAGTAGACTGACTCTATGGGACTCAAGGGAGGAGAGAAAGGAAAAGGGAATGACAGTCGACAATGTGGTGAAATGTAACATCTGTGCAGGTAGAGGACGTAACAATATGTACTGAAGACTGCTGAAAAACAGGGTGGAGGGGAAAGGGAAGGGGTAAGAGAGAGCAATGGAAGGGGCTGGACTGATCACAGTAACCCACAGTGGGGACCCATCAAGAAACCCCTTTGAACCTGACTTTGGAATTAATCATGAAAGACAGGACTGTAAGTAGGTACCACGGTGGAGGGTACTTGTGGGAAGGGGAGGGTGGATAGAGGAGATGAAGGTGAGGGAATATGGTTGATGGGCTTCATATATTTATACAAAATGAGACAATGAAACCTCTTGCAATTGCCTTAAGTGGGGTGGGGAGGGGGCTGGGGGGAGATGGTAGGGATCATCTAACTAATGTATGATATAAGGCTATTTGGAATTGTCACAATGAATCCCCCCGTACAACAAATATATTCTAATAAAACGGGGGGGGGGGGAAGAAAAGTAAAAATAAAGTCCCAGGCTTAACTCCCTCCACCTTTCGGGTGGGGCCCAAATCACTTAACGAATGAGCGAAGAGACAAATCTCTGGGGCTCCAGCTGCCAGGCCAAGGGTGGCTGGGGAGTCACGGGTTAGATGCCCTAAAAGCAGACCCTGAGACAAGGGGTAGGGGAGTAGTTTATTTGGGAAATGAAGGAACCCCCGCCCCATAGGGCAGTGAGGACGAGACGTGAGGAAGGAGAGGCAGTGTGGAAGGTCCATCACAGAACCTGTTGACACCGAGAGCAACCGCAGCGCTGCCCTCCTGGGGAACCCAAAGCTGCCCTAGAGCAGGCCTCAGAATGGCCTCATCTCATACACCATCTCCTTCCACTGACTCGGGGAGGGCTGCCCCAGGGACAGTCATGTTCTAGCATTTTCTGCCTGCCATTGGACAGCAAAGTAACACAAGTGCTGGAAGTGGAAGCCTGGACCTCGGGCAGCACAGTGAGAGTCAAGGCACAGCCTCTGCCAATCGGGAAAGAAGGAGCCCGAACACCTTAGCAGGCTCCGAGGGACAGGCAGGGCTGCGGTTGAGGACCCATGGGCTCTCACCTGCCTCTGCCGCCAGAGTCCACACGGGACTGTGGGGAATTCCTCATACTACCTTCGCCTCAGTGTCCCCAACTCAAGACAAGAATACCAGGCCCCATCAGCAACACAACATCCCAGCACCTGGCAGGTGGCAGGAGAGAGCGGGTGGTGGGTCACTAAGAAGAGGCAGGGGAAAGAGAGAAGAAATGGGGCAGGAAGCCACCAGTCCACTGAGAAGGCAGTTGCCAAGAGAGGTCCTCTGCATCACCAGGGCTGCTGGTGACTCTGCCCCACCCCGCTCCATTCCTCCAGGTCCAGCCTGTGCCAGCTTCTCTCACTGATATAAGACACTGCCTGGTCAGGCTGCCTGAGGTCAGAGGGAGGCTACAGGTGCCTTGCAAATGCCAGCTGGACATTTGACCAGAGCAGCTCGCCTTAAAGAGACAGGGTCCCTGGTGCTGCAGGAGAACTGGCATGAATGGGGGAGGCAAAGGAAGAAGAGAAGAGAGATGGAATTACCCAAGAAGTCCCACAAGACACAGGGTAGAGTCAGGTGTTGGAGAAAATGAGCATACAGGGAGAGGTGTATATCTGTAGTGCATATCTGTAATCCCAGCTACTGTAGAGGCAGAGGCAGGAGGATCACAGCCCAAGGCTAGTCCAGTAAAAAGCACAAGACCCTATCTAAAAGCAAAGTAAAGCAAAAAGGGCTGGGGGCATGGCTCAAGTAGTAGAGCACCTGCCCAGCAAGTGTGAGGCCCTTAGTTCAAACCCCAGAACTGCCAACAGAAAAAGAAAAGAAAGAAAGAAAGAAATGAAAAGACGGAAGGAAAAACTGTTTCCACAGCTCTACCCCCATAGTGCAAAAAGGCAATTGCCTTCTTACCCTTTCCACTCAGAAAACTGAGCAGATTTTTTTTAAAAAAATCAGTTGGGGCCAGGAAATGCCACTATTGTGAAATTTGCCTTAAATAAAGCAAACTTGGGTCTCTCCCACCACTCTGTCCCTCCCCACTCACTCAAGGGCAGTCAGTGAATCAATCATGTAATTGATCACACGAGACAGAAATGGCTCCCTCTCCTTCTCATCCATTCTGCTCTCTGAGCTTAAGTCAACCCTCCAAACTCAACACTGGCCTCCACTTGGAGAATGGAGGGGGACAAAGAGGTGACTGACCATCATTGTAGCTTGAAACTTAGGACATCAGAGGCTCTGACCTGGTCACTGACCTACAGGACCCTGGGGGCGCCACTTGTACTGTGGCTGCCTGATGGGCATTTCAGAGTTGTGCAGTGTACAGCTTACCTGACCAATTTGGGCAGCTTTAGAGGGCTGTGGCTTACAGCTTGGGCTGCAGGGGGTGGTTCCTTTCCCAAAGGAGCAGGACACAAAGAGGAAATCAAGACTACTGCTGGACAACCCTGGCCAGAGCACTCAGGCCTGATGGGACCACAGAGCCTGGTCAGTAGCTCACACCTATAGGCACAGCACCTAGGCTCTCTTGGCGTCTTGGTGGTACTGTGCTCGGTGGAAGGTGCAAGTGGCCTGGCCCCCAAGCCTGCCACTCTCTGGCCTCTCTCCCAGCCCAGCCCAAGCTTCCTATGTCACAGGTCTTGGGACCTCACCATCACAGGCTCTCCCAAAGCTTCCAGACCCAGCATGCAGGCTACAAATAACTGAGGCACGCACAGCTATAAGGTCTAGAGCTTCAGGGGCCCCAAGAGCGGTACAGCAGGGGCCAGTGTAGCAGCCTGGCGGGAGACAAGAGTAGGAGTCAGAAACCAGGACTCCAGACTCGCTCTGCTGCTGGTAGGAGCGGGTTGCTCTCCTTCTGTTGGCCTTAGTTTCCCCCTCATGTTAACTAGGGAGGGCTGGAGTCACTAAGCTTTGAGGTTCTATCGCCCCAGCCCCCAGTCTGTGTCGCCCCCTAACTGCCTCCAGACAGCAGAGTAATGGAAAAGGAAAGAATGGGTCCCCTAAAAGCTGGCAGCAAGCTCTTCCTTGGGAAGGCTGGGTTGTTTTGCTCACCCCCTCGGTGGGCCAAAGCAGGGCTACACACCCAGCACAGACAGACAGACAGAGCTAAATGACTCTGACTATTCACGCAGAAGGACAAGCACAGCCCTAAGACTGAAGAGAGGAGTATGCACAGGAACAGGGCAGAAAGGTCAAGAAGACACAGGGAAACTCCCACCACAGGGAGGTGAGGGAAAGGGGATGCCTTCTGGCAGGCTGCAGAGGGAGCTTGAGTCTGCTTACTGTTCCAAGCTGTAATCTGAAGCCCCTGCCCCACGGCACCCACCCCACTGCAGGAGGCATCACAGCCCTTTTGGGCAGGGGGCTTCAAGGGGAACGGAGTGCCCACCCACTAGGTCAGTTTGGTAGACAGGAGGTGGGAGAGGAGATGCTGAGTCAGTGACTTGGCAGAAGCAAGAAATGATCAGGGAAATATAGGTCACCTCCCCCCCAACCAAGAATCTTTGGAGATATTTGGAGGTTGAGGATTGCCCTTCATAGAAGGGATTAAGCCAATTCTTTAAAAATGCCAACAAAAGGAAGGACCCAAAAAGACTAGAGGGGAGGCCTTATGAATATGCCAGAGGCCTCGGCCCAGGTTTTACTAACAAAGGGTTAAGATCCCTCATCATTCTGGACCAAGACAGCCAGGCCACTCCCCAGCCTGGGGCTCAGGTGCAGCTCCATCATGATGTTGAACAATTCTGGAGGCTCCTGAGACCTAGGGAGACAGCCCTACCCTTCCCCAGGAGCTCAGGGACAGATTTTCTACTCAGAAGACACCAAAGGACAAAGCCAGGAATGAGTACCCAAGAAGGAAGCAGGCCAGCCAGACAGGCCCTTCCCAAACGACTCATTCTAGGTGCTACCCTAGTCCCCAAGACTGTCAGCAAAGCAAGCTGACATGCTTCCCCTGAGTCACTTCCCCACTCTTGGCATGGGCTGAATTGAAATGTATTTACCGTGAGGCCTCAGCAACACTCACACATGTTCCCTCCATATTTCCATATAAATAAGGAAGGCTGGGGCGCCAGCCATACAAATGGATCCTCACGTTCAGAGACAGGGGTATTTTTATTACCCACTGGGGCCCATATCCTCCCAAGATGCTCTCTGTTGCTGTCTCTCCCATCCTCCCCTGTCCCTTTTCTTATCCCCATCCTTACCCTTAACAGCTGGTTCCAGAAACTGAACAGCCCCCCCACCTGTCCGAGAACAGAGACTTCCCTGGCCCTACAGAGGGAGTTGATGTTTGCACAGCTGAGTACGTTTGGCTCTGTGCACAGGGCAGCCACTGCAGACCCAGCTGAGGCTGTGGAATTTTGGCTCTGGGCAGTGGAGGAGACAGGGCAGGCCCCAGGGAGGCTATATGAGGCTCTGACTCCCCCCAATCCATGGCTATCTCTGATAGAACAGCCCCAGAGCCATCCACAGAGCCTGAAGCAGCCAGCATAGGTTCAATTCCTGATGGGGGTCTGGGAGTTCCAGCAGGGTCAGGCCAGGGGAGACCTCAGGGCAGACACAGACAGCTCAACCAAGGACCTCCAGCCAGAGAAGGAGCTCTCCCAGAGAAGTTCCCAAGGGCTACTTCTTCAAGAAAAGATAGAGAGCAGGGCACAGAGAAGGGCAGACTCCCACCAGCCTGCTCAGATGCAACTGCAGAAGCAAGGGCCTTGGGTGAGGGGGGGAATGAAGTCAGACTCCTCCCAGTGACTCCCACTCAGGCCCTTCTCTCCCGAATCTCTAAGATGAGGGTGCAGAATTCAGAATGAGATGTCTGTCACACTCATACCCCCAAACTAGCGCAATTTATCAGGAAGCATAAACTGGCCCAGGGTAGAAGGCGGGGTCTCTGCAGGGAGACCCCGCCCATACCAGGCTGGGTTAGGCCCTCCTCTGCCCCAGGACAGCCCTTCTCCCATCTGCCCCTTTCCAGAACCATCACCTGCGGGCTTGACAGGTGAAGACACATATTTTTCCTGTTTGTGCTCAGACTGTTTTGTTAACCAATGCTTGGATTTCTTTTCCCCCTAATGCAGGGCCTTGGTGGATTTCCTTCTCCTGGTTCTGCTCTGGAGCTGCTTAGAACCAACAGAATGAGTGTTATCCAACTCCCCAACCCTGATGCAGCTGTCAGCCTTCCCCTCCCTGCCACGCTGCTCCCCTCAGGTGGCTCACAGTGGACACACTGCCACCTGCTAGGGTTTCTCAGAGGCTGCTTGAGACACATTGCAGGATGGAGTTGGCAGGGGGGCAGGGAGGTGGGGAGGATTCTCTTCAGGACCAGGGTTTTAATCCCATAGTGCCCACCACTTTCCAGGCATGCGTCCCTGCCCTAAGTCCCTCTAAGCAAATCGGCTGAATGCAAAGGCATGAAAGAAATTGGGAGCCATTGAGAATGGAGACATAAACAGAATTCAGGTCCTTTCTCCTGGCTTCTCTGAGGTCTCCCTCCTTGTCTCCTCCCAACTCTAGTTCTGTATTTCAGGTACTCAGTTTCCAGGCGGGGGGGGGGGGGGGGGGGGGGGGGGGGCTTGCAAATGCAGGAAGGCTTTGATCTGGATGAACTACCTGAGAACTGCTATTACAACAATGGAGACCCAGCAGCTCCACCCCCAGGAAAACCCTGCAGAAACGACTGCTTGCGTGCACCAAAAGTCATGTCCTAGACTGTTCATAAAAGTACTCTAACCAAAAGCCCAATATTGGGTGTCCAGTGAGGTTGATGGCTGAGCATGCAGCGTGAGTCACACCATGGAAGGCACCTTGCAATGAAAACAAAAGACAAAGGACTCCAGCCATATACATGGTGGGTGAGTCTCACATACACAATGTCGAGAGAAAGAAGCCACACACAGAAGAACACACCCTCTGTCACACCAATCTCATAAGACCCAAAACCAGGCAAAGTTCTTCTGTCCTATTAGAAGTCAAAGTCATGACTGTCCTTGGAAAAGCAGCAACCAGAAGGTGGCATAAGGACACTTCTGGGGGCTGACCATGCCATTTCTGGATCTGGCTGCATGGATTGTGTATACACCTCAATCAAAAGTTTAGCCAGGCATGGTGATATACACCTGGAATCCCAGTCACTCGGGAGGCTAAGGCAGAAGACTGTCAAGATTAAGGGCAGCCAGGCAAAGGTAGCAAGACTGTCTCTCCCCTCTATGCAACAAGATCTGGGGCTTGGGCTAGACACCTTCCTTGCTCCAAGGTAACACTGCTCAGCGCAGGGCACCAGAAAGACCCACAAGTCCCCTGCATGCTGCACCACTGGGCCCAACCTTGCCAGGATGGAGCAGGGGCCATGGGGTAGGAGACCTGCCTTGGCCCCCCAACTGCTTCAGGAAGATGGGCAGAAGAGCCAGAACCTAGCCCCTCTTCCCCAGTCCCTTCGTTCCACCTCTCAGACCCCTGACCTTTCTGAAGTCCAGGACCTGCAGGTAGTAGCCAGGCATACCCCCTTCCAGGGGTGTCTCCAGGGAGCCGGGGTGTCTTGCTCTATACCCTGCCTCCTCACCATCCATCCCTCAAAAACCCTGCCTTCACAGCTGCCCTCCCCTCTTCCAGCCTCAACTTTAAGCATCTCCTGTGTAGAGTTCCCTGCACCTCCTTGGTCTGCTTCTCCAAGCGCCCTTTTCCCCAGCACTACCCTGTCAGGTTCATCATGGCCTCTGAATGAGCATGGAGCCCTCACTCTGACAGACACTGCTGGGGTCCCTCATACCTTAACACCTGCTTCCCGCAACCCTGGGGAAGTGGGGCTACCATCCCCACTTATCAGAGGAGGACTCAGAGGCTCAGAGACTGAGCAATCTCTGGGAGTCAGAGATAGGATCAATTAACTTCCACTTGGCTTGAATGACTAATAAGTGTGAGATCCCTTCTGGGAGCTTCTGCAAGTTTAAAGAAGTGTGTGCTAAACCGAAAAATGAATTGGATGATGACTACCAGATGGCATGATAAGTGCCCCTCAGAGCGCCCACTCTAGCCGGCAGCCTGAGCTTCTTGGGACAGCTACGGTACTCATCGCTGGTAACAGGAGAGCCAGGCAAGTCTGAATCCTGCAAGTTTGAGAAGGGGGACTTGAGAGTTTTCCCCAGAGGTACAGGGGACATCTCACAAAGCCAAACATCTCAAGAAACCTAGTTTGGCTTGGTCTCCCCTCCTTTTCACCATTGATCAAAAGAAGCCCCAGAAGCACAGCAGGCAGGACTCTGTGCCATTCACCACCAGCAGTTCCATGATTAGGTAAGAGGGGTAGGGCCAAGCTTCAGGACTCAGGACAAGGGCCTCCCAGTTTGTCACACTCATGCCATGTGATAATAACCATACCAGGTAATTTCCATGTGTGAGAACATTCAAGACAGCCTCTGAAAAGGTCTTTAGATTTTCTTCTCTGTTTACCAACAGAGGACTTAAAGGACTTGGCCAGTGGTACACAGCTAGTATGTGATGAATGGTGATGAATGGAGATACAAACCCCAGCCTGGCTGGCCCCAGAATCCATGCTCTGAACCTCCACACCTTGCCTTACAAGCATCATGTGGACAAGAAGCAGGAACGGACCAGGAGGGATCTGTGTCCCCAGAACTGGGCCAAAGACACAGAATATGCCTGTCTCAAAGAGACAGTCCTGCACTGGCAGGACAAAATCCAAAGCAGTGTGCAGGGTCACACAGCCCACGCTGAGACCCCTCTGCTCTACACTTACAACGTGGCCAGGATGCCTGGGACAGAGCCCCCAGAAAGGCCCCCACAGGGTTGAGCTCACAGCCACCTCCCTCTCAACTTGTGAACACCTGTGCTTACAGTTAACACCCCGGCCCTCAGGATACCTTCTGTGCGGATGGTGAAGGGTGAGTCTCCCAGGCGCCTGGCTGAGAACTGGCCTCCCAGAGATGTCATCAGGAAGCAGAGAGTGAAGAAGCCGATGCCCAGGACAAAAAGCCTGCAGGGAGGAACAAGGCAGGTCAGCAGGGCAGGCCAGCGATAGTGCCTCCAGCCTCCACCTAGGAAGGGCCCATAAATGCTTTAGGAATGCAGAAATGACGGACTTCATATACCTATATGAAACAGAACTAAGAAACCTCTTGCAATTGCTTTAAGTGGGGTGGGGAGGGGGCTGAGGGGGAGACACGATGGGGGCAATGTAGCTAATGTACAATATAAATCTCATTGGAATTGTCACTATGAATTCCCCCCTTGTATAATGACTAAGACCCTAACAGAAATAATAATAATAAAAAGAATGCAGAAATGAGGGTTGGAAGCAAGGGATGAGTGCAAGAATGAGAGAGCAGGGGCTGAGCTCCAGGGCCCAGGGATCTCCCACCACCATAGGACAAAGAGTCAGAGACTAGAATCTGGCTACACTCCACATGAAAACCCACGAGGGAGAAATCTGGACAAGGTTCAGCTTCAAGACAGAGCCTGGCTCATTCACAGTAGCAGGTCCTCAAATCATGGTCCCCAGACCAGCAGCAACAGCACTTCTGAAAATCATTAGAACTGCACGTTCCTGGACCCTACACCCAGACCTACTGAATCAGACACTGGGATGGGGAGGCATGTTTGAACAAGCCCTCCCGATGATTCTGGCACATGTTGAACTATGTGAATCACTGCTGTCACTAGACAGCAGGGCCCGATGCCAGCCAGAGGGCAAGTAATTGGTCCAGCCGAGACCCTCCTGGATGTCCTCAATCAGCTGGGCCACCCTCGGCACTATGTACACAGGCCTTGTTGCTGCCATCACTCAGGAGCTCACTGACACCTCCTTATCTGTGTTCTTGGGGGTATTTGTGTCTCCATCACTGCCAGAGGGTAAGATCTCAAGGCAGATCCACATGGCTCCCGCTGTGCCCACACTCTCCCCAACACACTTCTCTACCAGGAAGGCACACGCTGGTTTGTCAGCCTGCATCCCCTCTAGATCAGGGTGTGCTGACACCTGGGTATAGAGTGTTATACAGGTGTGCATAGAGTTGGGAGAGTTGAGAGAGTTGGCCATAACTTCAACAAATAGCTATTGATTATCTCCCAGGTGCCAGGGACTGGGGGAGCCCAGAAACCTCCCTCCCATCCAGCCCAGCCCCAGGCTCCTACAGCCTCCATGCTCAATTCTGGGCCCCAAACACACCTGAACCGATAGCACAGCCCTAGGCAGTTAGAGGTGGCAGGGGTAAGGGACCCTACCCACCCTGGGTATGGAGCCAGGCTGGCCAAGGATAGCCTCATAAGTCATGCCAGACACTTTCAGCTGCCCCACCTCCATTCCCTGTCCCCATCCCCAGTGCTTGTTTGTATCTTTATGCAAGACTTGCTTTGTGCATTTTAATCTTCATTATTTGAAACTGGCAGAGCAGTATTTAATTAAAATTTGGTCCATTAAAGAAAACACATAATTGAAGAAGAAAATAAAAAGCACCACAAAATTCCCAGCCCAAATTTAAAGGAAACTGTTAGAGATTAAGTCAGAGAGGGCAGGAGCCACACACAGAGGGGACCTGGGAGCTCCCCCTGGGAAGGACCTGAAAGGCCATACATATCCCTGACAGAGAGGAGGGGAATGAGGTACAGTGGTAAGACAGCATGAGGGGCACTTCCCCGCTCTGAATTCCTCCAAGCCTGGAGGTGGGGCTCCTACCTGGGGTCCCCCAGATGAAATCGGGCTAGTCTCAAGAGCAACTGCCAGAGCGACAGCACAGGAGGGGGCTGTCACATACCCAGGGAGATCCCAGGACTTCCCCAGCCCTAGCCTCTTATCATCCATGCCCCCACCGGTCTCACAGCCCTGGAGTTGTATTTAGGGCTGGAGATGTGGCCTGTCTGCCAAGGTGCAGACTGCCATGAGAAAGGTGTCTCAATTTTTAGCCCAGACTCCAAAACCCAACACCCTTCATCTGCATTTCTCTGCCAGTCCCCAGGCCTGGGGTCCAGACACCACCCACCCCAAGCAGATGGGGATTCAAGTTAAAATGGTTTAACCCATCCATCCACCAGGAGCACTAGAAAAACCAAGAGGAACAGCAGCCCACCAGGATGAACAAGTTGGGGTGACGTCATCGAGGCCTGGCCCCATCTGAAGGGAAGATGAAGACTGCAGAGGTGGCTGTGGGTCCCCAACAACTAGAGAAACCCTGAGATGAAGTTACACAACAGGGGGTGCAGGCAACACACCCCAGTCCTGCCTTCAGATAAGCCTGAAAGGAGAGGGAAGTCAGGCTGGGGACTGAGCGCTGTCCGTGGTGCTTAGGGGCTGCACCGCCTCCAATCTGCCAGCAAAGGTGCAGCCCAAGGCAGGCTTCCAGCTGCCTGCAGAGTGCAAGGATTGGGGTGGGAGACAGACGAGAAGCCTCTCTACGTGAAGCAGACCAGGATTTCCCTGGACGACCAGGATCCTTTCCAGAGACACCGGCTCCCCGCCCTGCTTCCCATGGGCAAATAGGCCTGACAGCCCAATAACCCGCCTGAAAGCCCTTAGAGGCTGCCGACTCTCCCTCCAGTCGTCCACATCCTCCTGGCCAGCCCGACCCCGGCTGTCCTAGGAGGCTACCTTCTTAGCCCCGCCCAACCAGTCGGCATGCTGGGAAGTGGGAGCCAGGTGGGCACGGTGTCCCCACCCCCAGCCGGTCTAGACCAGGGAGAGACACCGGAAAAGGTATAGGAAGGTGGGAGGGGAAGAGGGCTGGGGCCAGAGACCTGGAGGGGAAGGACCCAAACCCTGCCCTCCCGCAACCCAAGCCTCAGATGTCTCCACCAGCCAGCGCTTGCCCCTGCGGACTCCGTCCTGCGCCCGGACCCCACCTGTGGCCGGGTCCGGAGTCGTCTCCGCCCCCCACGCCCCCGCACCTGTGCCAGCCCTCCCTCGGAGTCATCTGTGACCCAGCTACAGAGCGGGGCGACACTCCAGTCCCGTTGGAAACCCAATGCCCTGCGATCCCCTCCCCAGTCTGGACAGCAGGCCCAGCTCCTCCGACACCTGGGAGCAGAGGGAGCTGCCCCGGCACCCGCGAGCTCTGAGGGCCGCTGGGGTGGAACCAGCAGACCCCAGTGTGTCCCTCATAGCCCGAGTCCCGCCTGGTCGGGGCAGCCCAAGGTATTTGTATGGCGGGGCGGGGGTGGGGGTGGGGGGTGGGCGTGAGGATAGTCTTCCCTCCTCCCTCCACGCTCCAAGCAGCGTCTTCCCCGCCTCTTCAAGCCCAGAGGTCGGGAGCGAATCCCTGGCTTAGGGGTTCACGGCCCCAATCTCGGAGACCCTCGCATAAGAGACAGGCCAGCACCCTGCACGGAGAGTGCCGCTGAGGGCGGGGAAGGGGATGGACTAGGCAGAGGGGAGGGCGGGCCGACCTAGGGGCCGACTGGCGGGACAAAAAGGGCCCCGCCCCGGCACCCCGCACTAACTTTGCTACCCGGATGGGACTGACCAGGAGGTGGGAGAGACCCCGAGGGGTAGGAAGGGACGCTATGATTGGGGCCACTTCCCGGGTCAGGTCCCCAACCTTGGTGGCTTTCTGACTCCATTCTCACCTCCGTATCCCGAGTCCGTCCCAACCTAGACCAACTCCGGGCAGGTCCAGAATTACCCACCCCTCCCCACTCGCGCCCCCAACCCCGACTCCACCCGTTTCCCCAGTCCCCCTGGCCATGGCCAAGGGTTGAAGCGCGAACCTCCTCTACCACTGGCACTAGCGTCCTCGCAGAGGACGGCCTCGGCCACCTCCACCAGGCGCCCCCCGCGGGGAAAAGACCTCCTCCCACGCCAACCAGGAGCGAACTTTACCGAAAGGGTCTCAGGGTGACCAGGCATCTTCTGACCATTATCTTCCCATCGGGGTTGACTGTGATCATTGTTCAAACTTGTCTGGGCGAGACGCCCGGTTCCTGCCGCGTCCGGGCCGCGAACCCGCCGTGGACCGAAGCCGGGACCGAGAGAGGAGAAGGCGCTGGGCTCGGTGGCCTCGCTGCTCCGGCCGCCTGGCGCGGCCTCGGCGCGCAGGGAAGGGGAGCGGCGCAGCTGCCGGAGGGCGACGAGGGCGCCCGGCCGGGCGGTCTCTGCGTCTCCGCCCTCCCCGCTTCACATTTTGGGGGCCGGGAGGCGGCGCGCCCCCAGACCGCCGGCCGCGCGTCTGTCTGCTTGGGTTTACTCGCTGGGCGGGACGACGCGGCGGCGCGCAGAAGGGCTCCCCGCGGCGGGAGCCCTCATCCCCAGGCCCGCGCCCTCGGTGCTGGTGTCGGTACCGGTGCTGGTGCAGGTGCCGGCTAGAGGTGGCTCCGGGCCCGCGCCCCGGCCCCTCCAGCCTCTGGGCCGCGCCGATCTCCGGGCCGGCGCCGCGCCGCGCCCATGGCTCCCGCAGAGGACGCCCCGCGCCCGCCTGGCCCGCCGCTGGCTCGCTCGCTCGCTCTGCTGCCCGCGCTCCGGTGTCCGGCGTCCGGCCCAGCGCAGCGCTACGCCCGGAGGCGCCGCATTGTTTCCTTGGAGGAGGCGGCCGAGCGGCTGGGGCGGCCCGGGAGCGGCCGAGCGCTTTCTCGGCGCGCAGCCGCCACCTCGTGGCTACCGCGCGGCTGCAGCTCCTTCCCCTGGCCGTGCGGGGAGGGGGCGCGCGGGGCGGGCATGCCGCTGAACCCGCGGGCTGGGGCCCCGCACCTCTCTCTCCCTGGGCCATGCAACTTCCTAGGACGCCACCAGCCCCGACAGCCGAAGGTGCTTCAGCCCCTGCAAAGAGTGGAGGAGGTGGGCGCCGGGAGGAGACCTCTTCCCTTCCACCAGGCGGCAGGGCCCTGCCTCGGGCTGTTGTCTCAGCCACCCCAGGAGCTTCTGCACCTGCCTCCTCACCCGCTCTGACTTCTCTTACAATACTCATGCATTTTCTGTCCTTCTCTGTCAGAAACTCCCTCGGCATTCTTTGCTTGCTGGTCTGAGAATAATAAGCTGGGTCTGTGGCACTCAGTCCGGAAGCCAGAGCAGGTCGCCCCAGGTGGGCTCTCGTTCTAGCCTCCCTGTCTCCTCTAACCAGTGGGTAATGTGATGGAGTGTGCAAATCAGAGCAGTTTCCACTGTACAATGAGCTAGGGCTCCCCGCAACTCCAAAACATAAAGACCTGAGGGAGGTTTTGGGGGGTTTGTTTTGTTTAGCATTTTGAGCCCTGCTCACCCCCTCCCCACATTCCTCGACTTTGGAGACCTGTTTGCAGTTGCAGATCAGAGGCTCCTAGGAGCACGAGGGTCTGAAGATAGTGCTCAGGCTGGAACAACAGCACTTCCCAAGACCAGGCTTCTGCAAGATGCAGAAAGGACACCCCACACGCAGAAAGGACAACCCATACCCACTGAGAAGCACCTCAATCCTTGGGTGCTATGTACAGTAACATGATACCTCTGAGGTCTCTCCCAGTGCAGACAGTAACTCCAGGCAAAGTGTAAAGAGGAGAAAACCCTTACTGTCCTCCAGCCAGCCCTGGTCGGGCCTCCCTCCGCCCTTTCCCCACCCCCCAGCTCTGTACCCTGGGCCCCTTTACTGCCTGCTGGGCCCCTGAGCATTTCTCACCAGCAGTGACTCATGCTCTCTGCCTTTCCTGCTCCTTCTTCATCAAAATTCACCTGCCCCATGTTGCATTATCTCATTGCCTTGCTTCCTGCCAATGTGAAAACGGGTGATAAATTGGTGTTGGCGGATTAATGTGTTACTCCAGCTAGGTAGCAAATTTGCATTGAACAAGGACAGGCTGACCGTGCCTTGGTACAGAAGAGTGACGGATGGTGGCGGGAAATTTGGGCATCACGGCAGGCTTGCTAGGGAAATGTTTGAGGGCAGGGGTCTCTGCTGGGCCTCTAAATCACACCTCGTGCTTGGGTGCTTCCATCTGCCACAAACTCGGGTAATAATTTAATCCCTGGCTGTAAAGGCCAAAGCCACATCTACACTAAGGAATAAAATGGTCCTCTGTCATGCAAGTTCAGAAGGTTGCATTTACACCTGGTTGACACTGGACTGAAGAGGAGGTCTCTCCTAACGGCAGGAGGCAGAAACGGCCACAGATGCAGTGGGTCATCTGGGGAGGTAGCTTAACCTCAGGCAGAAGCCAGAATTAAGAAGGTAGAAGAGGACGATCCTCACTCCCTCTGCACCTTGCTCTCTTGGACCTGGATGCTGAGGTAGGAGGAGGACCGCCCCCTCTGCCATTTTATCAGCAGGCTTGGGGCCAGCAGGGAGGCATAAGGAGAACAGTGAGTTTTGTTGGCCAGATTGTCCAGCAGTCTGCTCATTTCCAAGTCTGTTCCCTTTTGTCAGCCTCTTGTGTGCAATCAAGTAAACGGTCCACCTTGCTGTCACGGTGCTGTACACATTAGGAGAAAAAAATGTGACTCCTCACATCATTCAACCTTGGACGCAGCCTCTGTGCCTCAGTTTCCACAACTATAAATCAGACTACTTATAGCACCAGCATCAAAGGGCTATGGTGAGACTTGAACCTGTGAATGTATGTGAATAGCCTGTCACCTGGCTCCCACTGAGCACAAGGGAGGCTATGATTATCGCTGGTACTGTCTACTTGTAGCAGATACTGTTCGTGCTCTGTCCATATTCCCTCTCCACTCACCTCCAAGTCTAACCAGATTACTGAGAGCACCTTCAGCTCTCTGCCCAAAGGCTCTTGTCTGATGGCTGCAGGAATACACTATAGCACTCAGGGACAAGATAGAAGGACCAGACAGCCGGTGTCCCAGGAGCAGCCCTCCAGCGATAGATGGGTGGCCACTCCAACCACCTCTCCCCCCAGGTGCTGTGTGCTGTGCCATATTCGCCACTGGTCCCCAACACTCCCAGCGAGACTGTTGCCCATGGTGGTCACCTGCTCTGAGATATGCCTGTACTGGCTACCTTTTCTGCCTCACTCATCACTCCCCAATCAATGCACCTGGGGGCCCCTCCCAAACAAACTATTGCACTGGAATCCCTGCCTCAGTTGGGGAACCTCAACCAGTACCCTGTTCTACAGACTGAGATCCTCAGCCCCACCCACAGCATATTCACCTGCAGAGCTTAGCAAAAGAGAAGCCTTATCCTGACTTGCTCTCTGAGGTGGTGCCTGAGCACATTTGTTTGGGGGGGTGGGTATTTTTTATGTTTCTTTGTCTGAGACTGGGTCCCGCTATGTACCCCAAGATGACCTCCAACTCTTGATCCCTCCTGTCTCAGCCTTCAAGTGCTGAGATGACAGGCGTGAGCTATGGTGCCCAGCTCACATTTGGTTTCTTAATGCCAAGTCCTGCCAATGTAACTGGCTAGGCAAACACTCACTCATCTTTTGATGAGGACAGAGAGTCTCTCCGGGCAAGCCGAAGTAGAGTCTGGGAGCAGAAATGGGGGCAACCCTTTTGGAGTACACATCCAAGGATGGCTGTCAGGCTGGAACAGTCCCCTGACCTGTCCCCTTTCCATTCCTTCTCTCTTCTGAGGCTACATGCAGCACCTCCATCCCTCCCACTGTCCTCGGATCCTGCCGAACTGGCTAGAGGGATCAGGGGAAGCCTAGAACCCACAGAAGGCCCTGGGAGTGGTACAGGATTCCTGGAAGGGATGCAGGCTGCAGGGGCAATGTGGGAGGCGCCCTGAGGGGTCTCAGACTCAAAGTACCTAGGATCCGGCCAGGGCCAACCAGAGAAGCTGGCTGGAGTTGTTTCCTAGGCTACCACAACGAGGGGGTGGCTTAAAGCCACAGAAATTAATTTTCTCAGGGTTCTGGATGCCAGAAGCATGAAATCAAGGTGACCCACCACAGGGCTGCCTCTGAGGGAAAATCTTTCCAGACTTCTCTGCCGGATCCCAGCAGCAGGCCACAATTCTTATATGCCTCCATGTGACTTTCTCTATATGTATCCCTGTGTCCACAGTTAGCTCTTCGTATAAGGACCCCTGTCATTTAGGGTCCAGTCATCCAATATGATCTCATTTTAGTTAATGAGATCTGTAAAGATCCTATTTCCAAATAAGGGTGCGTTTTGAAGTTCAGAGAGGACATGGTGTTTAAGGGGACACTGCTCAACTCACCACAAGGACATCATGGAAGGGACTGGAATGGTTCAAGACTGCTGGAAACTTGCAGGTCCCAAGGACCAGACAGGCCACCAAAGCTTTGTATGACTGTGGGCCCAGTTGCTTCAAGAGAAGCCAGAAGTCTGGTCTGCTTGTGCGTGTGAAGCTGCATAATTTTAAAATGTAGGCTCAATATTTTTAGAACATTGTGCAAGCCCAGTAAAATCCACTTGATGGCCTGCCATCTGGGCTCTCTGTGGATGTCAAAGGGAGCCTGGCAACCCTGGCCCACCCAGAAAAGCCCTCCTAACCTGAAGTTCTCCAGACACCTCCCTGCCCCAGAGAGGAAGATGAACACTTGGGGTTCCATGGCTGCTTCCTGGGGCATCCTGGCCCCCTTGAGACACCCCCTCCCGGGCCCCAGGGCCTCTGTGGCTATTAGAGTCTGGACTCTGCTCCCACCTTCTGAGAGCTTCAAGGTTGCTTCTGGAGACAGGGCCTGGGGTGGGAAGAAGGAAACAAGCAGTTTACCGTGTTTGAAATCCCCATTTAATGTGCTTGGGCTGCAGCAGCAGACAGCGCATTACGAGGCAATAGGCCACTGTCCTTTGCTGGAGTATGAAGCATTAATAATGTCAGAACAGCATTTACCGACACCGCGCACAAATCATCAACAGCCGTGCGGGGCAGGAACAGCCAGCCCCACACCAACGGGCCTCCAGCCGCGTGGGGAGGCCGCGCAGTGGGGAGGGAGGGCGGTTTCACCGATGCGTATTTCATGCTTTCTGTTTCACAACATTTTAGGCTAATCCT